GCATCGATCTCGACGCATCGTGCGCCAGCACGCAAAGTCTCGTCATAGGCCTCTGCTGAAGAGCTTCCGTAAAGCTGGTGGGCCAAGAGGTAGGTGTTGTGGCTGGAGCTGATGAAGTATTCGGGCAATGGGTGGGATCTATCAGTAAGCTCGCGGGGCACACTGATGTGAGGCTTGTAAACGAGGGCCTGCAGCTCGGGGGTGAGCTGTTCTGAGTCGACGTTTGCTTCTTTGGAGGAGATGGCCTTCTGATCGACGAGGAAAGACTTGATGGCACGGCTCACGCGGAGACGGTGCTTAAGGTCGGAGTCGCGTGCAGCGTGGCCTCCGCCGGCCAAGGTGGTGTTATCGGTCGCATCGCCAAGCTCCTCTTCATCTTCCGGCGCCGACTTGGAGAAGGGATTGAGGTTGGCGAACTTTGAAGTTAGTGAGGCCATTGCTAGTGACGTATCTACGGCGGTTGTCTCTTTGGATTGCCTCTTCCGGAATGGAGGACGATGGTTCTGACTCGAGATGTCCGCTGGGTACGCGGGGTATGTGTAGATGTTAAAGAGGGAGAGATTGAGGTGGTCGCAAACAGGAATTCCGGCAAGATGATGGCGGAAAACGACGACGTCAATCTTGGCTGATGCACGCCGCGTAAGGTAGCAGCAACGCAACTGCAGGTGGCAGGAACAAGCTGTGGACTAAAGTTGCCCCTCCTTCCCATCAGCTCAGCTCCTGCTGCCACACCAGCCGCACCTTCTCCAATGGAGGGGTTGCGGAGTGGAGACGCTAAGATTAGATTGGCGGGGAGCTCCAGCAGCTTTGACGAATTGAATTCCAGCTTCTCTCCCTTATTTGGTTAGAGGATAGCTTACATAAGTCCCGGTACTCAGTCTTCCCAGGTCCTCGCGATTCCCAGTGTTCCCTTAGCTTGGAGCCCACAGCTCCTGGTCAAGCACAAGTTCGTCTCAACACACGAACACCACCATCAGATGGCGCTTGATCATCGGCCTCGACTGGCTTGCAGCACACGGACTACCCATTATCATGCCCGGTCTCTTCATGCCTGCCTGGCAATCGACTGCCATAATGGTGATTGGCAGTTTTCGATGGCGCCTTGGGACTGACGGACGATGCTCTCCGTGGCTTCAAGTTGGAGAATCTGAGCTCAATCATTCGATCACTTCTTGGGCAATGTCAGACGATGCTTCGAGCAGTAAATACAACCAGTCAGACCCCCAAGACACTTGTGATTCAAGGGTCGTCTTCGAGGAGAAGCCAAGACTAGTACGGCACCACCCGAACTCCCTGATGCAGCGTCGTCAGCGTTCCCATCCAAGCTGGTTCTCTCGCCGGAATCATTCTCCACCTCGGCGATTTTGTACCGACTGGGCATCTTGGGAGCCGGGCGGCATATGGAAACACTCGTTCAGCCTTGTGGGTCCGCCCATGCTGCAAGTTGAAGCTCCTCCACCGTTGTGATTTCCGCCCCCAAACTCCTTGCTACGCCCCGGACCTCGTGGCATCTCCTTCTGTCTCCAACCTCGATTGAACGCTGTGGACCTCGCCGACTACGGTACTGGCATGCGGCTGGATGGCCATACCGAATATCTATGGAAATTTCAGGCAGAGTTCTGTGCGACCCTGCTCCAATACAACCCCACGCTCGTACCGGAGACAGCTAGCTGCTTGTGTTAGTTGGTACCGTGGCACATGGACTTGTCTGGCCAGAGTTGGTGTCGGCCTCCAATAATTATTCGGTTCAGGGTGCCCCTCTGTCTCGCAACATAAATTTTCGGCTTTTGGGTGTCAAAAATCGCACATCTAGGCCCCTTGGTCTTTGGCTCATTCAAATTCAAGTTGGCAAGTTCTCCGTCTCGTGGGATGTGTCCTGGAAAGACTATCTTCAGGCAGCAGGCAGATACAAGCATCGGGCCTGATGCTTGGGTAGCGACATGTCGCAAAGTCCTTCAGGCGGGCGAGAACGTTTGGAGATGTCTTAGTCTTATTCCTGCCTGCGGCCGCAAACGATAGGATGGGCCTGGGAATTTGAAGCATTCCTCACCACCATTGGCAGGCGAACCAAATGCAGCTCGGAGAGTTATTGACCTGGCGATGCATGTGCGAAAAAAAGAGCCATCGAGAGGGCTAACGCAAACGCACGGAGCACTACTGCAAGGGTAGCAAGCATCTCGATGGGGCCATGGAGAAGCCTGGACAGCTGGACAGCTTCCCGAAAGCTGCCTCCCTGCCGCTGGCGTCATCATCAGCTTACCCTACACTCCTTCAAAGACTGATGCGCGCGAGGAGTCTGCCTGCCTGCCTGCCTGCCTGTATGCCTCTCTCGTCACCAGGAAGAGAGTGAGGTGGTTGGAGTCGAATCCATCGTCCGACACACCGCCGGAAGGCTGTAGGTGGACAGCGCGGCAACGACAGAAAACAATCAGTTCTGCTGTGTCATTTGATGGACGAGTGCATGGGATATAATCAAGACAACACACCTCGCCTTCGACATCCGGGTCAGAAATAGCTGGAAGAACGTTGGATCGGCATTGGAGGGTTGCGGGATGGGCGTCCTGCGCCTCCGTGAATGTGGTCGCTGGTCGCACGGCATGCGGGGTCCAACAGTCTCTCGCAGATTCGCACACACACACTTTCTCTGTTTCTTCTCTGGATGGCACACTGACACACTGGGTGTTGGGCCTCCAGCATTGGTGTGTCCATCTGGTGCTACACGGCGGCATCCAGTCATCCAGGGTGCTCCCAAGAGCAGATTCACCCAGTTTGTAGAGATGACTGGTTCCTCGTACGAAAGTGCCTCCAGCCTATGGCGTGCTGGAGTTTGAGGGAATAAGCTTCTCGGAGGGTTGAGCCATGACGTCGGAAGACTACAGTAAAGTCCTTTTGGGAAGATTTGGGACGGCTGGATGCCGTCTGGCGTCGGTGCTTGTGGGCGCTTGCTCGCTGCCAACGCTGCCGGTGCCGCAAATGGGCATGTTCGATTTTGGCCGCATCAAGCAGCTTCCCACCCCAGCGCAGCGATCGGCACCTTTGGGTCCCTTGGGGTCCCTTGAAGGGGCGACGAACGGCGCCACACCCTCCCTCTTCCCGTTCTTCTTCTTCCCAGTTCTCGCTCTCTCTTTTTCGTCTACTACTTATTCACATGTGAAGCCAGACGCCCATCTCATCGATGCCCATACACTGATTGTTATTCCATTTCAATAGTCGGAAGCGATCTGGTGTTGTTGCGCGCTTGTTCGTCGTCAAAAGCTCATCATGGGGGTCAATCCGGGCGTAGTGTTTCTACTGGTAAGCCCCAACAGCCAACGCCAACTAACACCATCGAAATGAATTATATCAAGCAGATATCTAACGAAAATACTGGTACAGATCTGCATCGGACTGCTGGCGACGGCCATGTGAGTTCTCAAACATCACCGACCGCAAATTTCTCTGCTAATACTCTCACAGCGTCGTTCACGTTACGAGCACCAATCTCACCCTTCCCATCTCACCCTTCTTGTCTCTTCTTCCGATTCTGCTACCCATCCTTGGCACTATCAACGCATTTTACTACCCGCGCCTGCTATTCAATGCGAGCAACTCTCTCGCTCGAACCGAGCAGCTCTTTCCTACCATTATCCAGACACTTCAAGGCATCTTGACCACCGCTGTCGCCGTTATTCTGTTGCAAACCGCTCTTCCCGGCGATGGCCTGAACTGCGCCCTGTCCACCAGCTGGCAGCGCATTTTTGTCGCCAAGGATGAGTCGACCATCCGGCGCATCCAGGACAGCCTTAATTGCTGTGGTCTGAACAGCGTCAAGGACCGCGGTTGGCCATTCGGTGCTAATGCCCGTTGTGCCGAGATCACTGGTCGCGATACTGCCTGCATCGGACCGTGGAGGGACGCAACGGTGCGGAATTCCTCCATCGACTTGGGCATCGTCATCACCGTTGGTGTGCTACAGGTATGTCTGATATCGATATATAGCGGGCCACCGCCGTTCTGGGCTAACTAGACATTCGTCACAGGTTCTGACGCTGCTGTTTATGCAGAGTGCCAGCAACTGGAGACACGCATGGTGGGCGCAACCCTGGAGCCATCTCTCAGAGCGTCCGATCGAAGAGCGCCAGCGTAGACCTCTCCTCACTACTACGATCTCCACACATTCAGCGCTCGACAGTGGTGAGGAATCTGAAGACATTGTGAGGTACAGCGACCTGAACCCGCATTATGGCACTACAGGGGAGGGACAACGGGGCCGTATTCGCCCTAGTTCCGGCCGGATCGAGCCATCTTCGCTCAGAAATGTCGAAAATGCCGAAGATGAATGGAGAGACGAGTAGTTTTCATGCGCACGCCTTCACCGAACACAAAGCTCTACATCTTACCAACGACGACACGACTTTCTTTCAAAATATCATTTTACCCTCTTTTGCATTGCGAGCGAGGAGAATGGTTTGCTATCCGGGTATTGGAAGCCGGGGAATAAATCGGCGGAGTTCGGATCTGACCGGTTCATGTTTTAGTGGCCATAGTCTTTTTTGCTAGGGAGGTTCCCTTGTCTGCTTTTTTCTTCTTTGGGGCTGGCTAAAATACCTATTGGAGTTTATTCGAAATTTCGTTCATTGACGCCGCTTGTTTTGACATGCCTGCGAGTAAAATGGCCAGATCACGGCCTGCCATTGCGAACCTGAGGTTGACGATGTGAGCGATTTCCCCCCTCAAACGACGGTACACCGACGCGAAAGAAACACTTACCGAATGGGGGCATGCCGTTTCGCCAATTCCTCCAGGAGGTCTGGTCTCGGTTCCAGCCCGCCGAGTCCCACGAATACCTTGCGTCCATCTACGCTTGCCTTCTCTGCCGCATTTGCAATTTTCGCAACGGTGGAGTGGAAGAGTTCAGAGTCGTATTGTCCAGGGATTCCGAGCCTGAGGAAAACCACACGTCAGCTTCAGTCTCGAAATCTCATGCGTGTCTCATTTTCTACGGCGGGATGAGTATTTACTTACTCCATGCAGAGATCTGCGCAGCCGATGAACAAGGCATCGATGCCCGGCACTGCGGCGATGGCTCTGTGATTCTGATTAACCTCTAACGACTTTTTCCATATAGGACTCTGCCCTCGTGGCGTCAGACTTGGGGGACTGACTCTACATTCTCGACGCCTTCTTTGGTCTCGATCATGGGCATGATGAGGACCTCGTCGTTGACTACCTCGGCGATGGCCGCGTAGGATAGCGTCGTCGTGTACTGTGTCATTGCCGTGACCATGGTTACGGACCGGTGGCCCTACGGATTCGTCCTCACGTGTAAGCGCCTGCAGATTTTCGTCGAACACTTACTTGTAGGTAGATGTTTGGAAAAAGGCAACGTACCAGAGGGGGAAATTTTGATGCGTTGACGCACATCTTTGCTTGCTCGACGGTGTTCACGTGCGGTACGATGATGGCTTGGGCTCCGGAGTCGAGGCAGCGGGAGATCCATTCTGGGGCGCATGTTGGTACGACTACGGTTGGTGTGATGCTTTTTCGGCCATACCATTAGTTCACAGACTCTATTGCCCAGTATCGCGTGGGGTTTGGGTTTTCTTTGGAAACAAGGACAGGTGGTGGCAGCGGGGCCTTACCCAATATTCAGACACGAGACGGCGATGTCTTTCATGGTCTCCATGCTCATGGCCATGTGCTCGAGGTTCATGAGCACGGCCGAGTAGCCCGCGCGCTTGGCGACGAGGGGCATCTCGGTGGAGAAGGCGACGCGGAGGCCAAAGGAGTGGGCGAGTTTGTTTTGGAGCATGAGGTTCTTGACGAGATTTGGGCGGCAGGCTTCGCGGGCGAGCGCGAGCTGCTGCTCGTGGGTTGTGGGTGAGGACATTTTGAGCGGTGGTAGAGGGGGTTGGGGGTTGGCTGCGTGGATGTTAATCGAGAGGACAAGTTCTGATATCTTGATGATGTTGAGATGCTTGGAGAACGAATTTCAAGAGAATAATGTGCTGCAAAGCAGTATGTTTGGTGGGATTACTGGCAGGTTTGCTTGATTAAAGAATGTTATCGAGAACGTCAGCAGCTTGCATCCGGGTGGCTGTATACGACCTCCGTCAAGCTTAAGCCGAACCTGACTTACACCACCCCGCTCATCCCATCATCCCGAAAGTCGGCTCCTAGCGCCCGATTTACCGGACGGAGCGGATGGCCCTTATCCGGGGGTGACTTCGATAAGAGTGCGGGGGAGAAGAGATCGGGCATTGTCCGACGACGTCGCACCCCATTGTCCATGGGCACGCCTGCAGCTTATCTTCGGGACATGGGGCGGGGAGGATGCCGATGGCCCACTGACACGCGATATGCTGATAGAATTTCCGCGTGTTGCCGGCACTGGGATAGGGGATGAACGCATGTTATCCTAGGAGAGCAATGGCCGATCTGATATCGGTTGGGGGAGGCTTTGCCAAGGGGGATGGGTTGTTCCTGGTTATCTTGATCCGGGGCTTGGAGGTCCTTGGGCGAGGTAGTATCGATATCGACTGCAGAGCTGAGGGGACACTTAAAACTTCACGGTGTATCTCGGTCTGACTTATAACTCGACAGCTCTCTATCCCCTTAACCCCCCCCCCCCCCCCCCCCCCTCGCAAAAGGAACTTGAAAGTCCGCACAGTGGTTTACCCCTTTCGCTTGTAGAACATCGTCACTTTGCTACCATGGATGGGGAGAAGAAGGCCCACGAGGTCAACTCGGCCACCTCAACGGCATCAGACGTCGGTGTCGGCGTCCACGAGGATGCGCCTCAGAATGTCTCTTGGGGGAGGAAGGTTCTCTATCACCTTTGGGACGCTGATCAGCATCTGAAGAGCCCTCAGGTATGGCCACCAACCAAGCCATGTCCTCAGAGCGTTGATGGAGGGAACCGGAACTGACTGGGGCTAATAGGAGCGCGCTTTGGTTCGGAAGCTGGATTTTGGCATCCTGATTTGCGCCACTCTTGGCTGGGTATGTTCCGCACTGGGTTGTGTTCAGAGTCGTCGGTGGCTGATTTGATCTAGTGGATGAAATACATTGACCAGAGTAACATCATGAATGCCTGTATGTTTTGTCAACCCACGATAAGAAGGTGCTATGGGCTTAACACAAAATCATAGACGTCAGTGGGATGAAGGAGGACTTGAATATTCAAGGAAATGAGTACACTTACATGCTTAGTGAGTTAGCCCCTGTGCGGATATAGATACGTGGTCAATCGAAGCGATCTGATCGATATGCAGTGTGTTACACCATCGCCTTTGCTATTATGCAAATTCCCTCAAATCTCATCGCCCTCAAGATCCGCCCTCGTTACTGTATCGTCTTTTGCGAACTTGGATGGACGGCCTTCACGTATGTCTTAGTCCTTTCCTTGTCACACGCACCACGGACCAAGGAAGTCTTGGCTCCAAAAATACTAACATTCTCTCGTGACTCAACAGCTTCGCTCAAGCCGCGGCCCAGAGCAGCAATCACATGTACGCCTTCCGCTTCATGATCGGCCTGTTCGAATCCGGCTTCTCGCCCATCATCATTTTCCTCCTTGGATCGTGGTACACCAAGCCCGAGCTCGCCAAGCGCGTGGCCATCTGGCACATTACCGGCTTCTTCGGGCAGGCGACATCTGGGTTTCTGCAGGCTGGGATTCACAAGTCTTTGAATGGGCATTTAGGTATGGCGGGTTGGAGGTGGATGTATATCGGTAAGTGAAGATTTCACCCTATTCTGAACAGAGAAGACCGCTGACGAGCGAGGGAAATAGTCTGCGGCTGTATGTCCCTGCCGGTTGCTCTGTCCGTGTGGTGGTTGCTTCCTGATTACCCGCATAACACGACCGCGTGGTACATCACGGAAGAGGACAAGCAGATTGCGATGCAGCGCGCGGCGAAGCAGGGCAAGGCGGAGATCACGGGAGTTGTGGACTTGAAGCTCCTCAAACGCATGTTTGGGAACTGGCGTTGGTGGATCTTGTGCTTGATGTACATCTTTGTAAGTTATTTCAATGCACCTGGAATCATCTTGTGTTGGAGGCTTTTGACCGTTCTGACATTTCGTCCGCCACATAGTACGGCAACTCGTGCCAGGCCAACAACTACTTTGCTATCTACCTTCGTACGACGAGCCCCGCCAAGATTCTCATGTTTATTCAACGTCAACTGACACGCAAGATTTAGGCGAGAACGGGTACAGCGTCACCCAACGGAACGTCATCCCGGCGTGCGCCAACCTCGTCACCATGGCCACGGACTTTGCGTGGGGCTTCATGTCGGACCTGACTGGCAACAGACCTTTGTGGATCATTGGACCTCTTGTAAGTGGCGCTCCTGTGATGGATCTCTGGTTAGGTTTACTGACGGCGGCGGGCAATCCAAGATGGGCACGACTGTTGTGGGCTCTTCAATCCTCACTGCCTACCCGCCGACGGATGCTGCGCGAGTAGCCGGTTTCTTCCTCGTTTCTTGCGGCTATGTCACGGCTGTCACTTGGGTAAGCCGGTGCCGAGATGGAAGGGTTAGCAAGAGACTGGTGATACTGACCGGCACACAGACTTGGGCGAATGAGGTGAACAATGGGAATGCGGAAGAGCGTGCCCTGACTATTTCCAGCATGAATGGATTATTTTACGCAACCAGTGAGTAAACCATCTAGGGCGATAGACCGTTTACTTAATAATTGACTGACATGACGTAGACTCTTTCTTGCCTATCCTCATCTTCCCACAGACCATGGCACCCACTTTCGAGCGAGGCTTCCCCTCTATCCTGTCATTCGCGCTCGCTGCCGTGGTTTTGGTCCGTAAGTGCCATCCTTTTAATGACTACCAAATGTGACCTTCAGGATAAACTGACAGAAAAACTCTCCAGTCATTGCGGACTTCTTGCATAAGCGTCAACTGCGGCGAGAAGCGCATGCTGCCGGTGAACAGCCTACCTCGGAAACTGTCGTGGAGGGGAAGGCCGATAAGAAGGAGAAGGAGATGGAGGGTAGACTTTCTGGAGCTATTGAGCCGGTTAGGAACTCTTCTAGTATCATTTGAGCAGCAAGTGTTGGAGGGGTAAACCCAGGGTCGGACGTGCATGGTGGTACTCGAGGCTCGAAGTTACACCTAACACTGTTATGCTACCTACCTCAAAGGTCTGGGGGGCTATTGGAACATCTGGCGATAGATGAAAGGAGAGAAATGTCTGCAAGGATTATATCGAGTTGATATTAGTTATTATATATGTTGCCTGAACGCTCCGAGATCAAGTACATGCTGATCGAACATGCTGAACAGCCGCATGAAGCTTGATACGCAAGTGGTTGCTATGGGAAATATACTGGCTTTGCGTCACATACACAGTATAGTCTGCTTTACCTACTTGAGGATACTTGATCGGATTGCATCTGATGTCGACACAGGCGTGATCCATGCCAGATCTCAATCGCAGTTGCCACCTATGCTTCAAGGGATCTGAACTTGATGTACCTCAAATTGAAGGGCTCTTAAGAATCGAGTGCTGAACTACAGAGTCCATGTTGTCCGAGACTACCTGATTCCGATGGAGACCTGCTCACTCATGTCCTCACCGGCTTCCAACCTAGATCTGATATCCAAGATAGTAGCAGCCAGTCTTTCAATACCTTCTTTGATCTCGGCTACCTCATGCCATGCCCAGCACAGTCTGACGCATCTGGAAAAGCCATCCTTCGACTCCGCTCTCTGAATGCTCCCTTGGTCTCCACTGACAACAAACATGTGTCCGAATGCGACGCGGAGTAGCTTCTCTTTCAAGGCTATGGCTGCCACTGTTCGTGCCGCCGGAAGGTCTTCTGGAAGTCGGAGGTATGTGAAGAAGCCTCCTGCCATCGCTTGCGCGGTACTTTCTCGGTCACTGACTTCCACGGTGACACCCAATGGAACAAGAAGATCGCGGATAGAGGTCATAAGGGCATAGAACCTCTCACGATATGTGGGTATGAGGGTCTTCTTGATATGTGTCTGCAGACTGCCGCTTCGAAGCATCTTATCGACAAAAGTGGATGTGAGATGGGAAGGTGCGCCGCCAGAGCTAGAAGATCCTCTGCTCAGGAGTTAGTACCGTAGTATTATGTGCCTATTTGGTTGGTTGCATAGAGAATTTCAGAGCCGAAGACTTACACCTCCGCTAATTCTTTGGCGAATGCCGGCGAGCCGTCCGCCCAACCAACTCTGACACCGGGCCCGATGACCTTGGAGAAAGACCCATTGCTGATAGTGTTTCCCCATATGCTGTAGCCGGGCATTTCGCGGTCTATATCAACGAGTCTCGGCGGCACGGCTCCGACTGCATCATCTGGAGCGGACGAGTCCTCGGGCCAGCTCAGAAAGTCGTAGACGTCGTCTGATACGATAAGGGCATCGTATTCTCGGGCGAGAGCGACAAGGTCCTTGCGGATCTGCAGAGAGAGCGTCTTTCCGCTGGGGTTCGAAAAGGTTGGAACGATGTAAATGACATATTTGTAAACTTTTGGGTATACCTTTCCCACTTTGATGGTGGGGATGTCGGGTCTACCAAGTTTCTCAGCATCCTGAACGGCCTTAGTTTCGGCAGTGACCAGCGCGCGACGCAGAAAGGGAATGTCTAGTCCGTCTGTATCATTCTCAGGCACACCTGCGAGCTTGCCCTGGAAGCCATTGTCTTCAAAAATTGGGCAGGCTAAAAAGTACGTCGGTTCGACCATGAAGATCTTGCGTGTGTATAGCGGGTCTGTAAACTTCAACAGCACATTCGCCAGATTGCCAGACGCGCCGTTGTTGATGGAGATTCTCTCGTAGTCTATCTCGGTGCCGTAGACGGAAGACAGCCATTCTGCGATGCTCTTCCGGAGAGGAGGATGACCGATGTGGGGGCCGTAGATGAGCGCCGTGGCGGTTTCGGATTCCGAAGTTAGGACTTGGGTTGCGCCGTCTAAGAGTGCGCTTGCTGCGAAGAGTCGAGGGGACGGCCAGCCCAGCTGCAGATTGATGAGCGAGGGGGGGCTGGGGGGCGTCGCAGTGGTGTTGCTTCCCATGATGAAGTTAATCCATGTAAGCTGTAGTTGGCTTAATGTTCCCGTAAATGATTCGGAATTCTCACTTGGTCTTGTCAGTTCACTTGTTCGAAAGTATAAGCAGGCACTATGACCCTCCTCGGCCTCCCAGCAGTGATCTTATCGGATGGATCCCGACATTTGCCGGGGTCCTCTCCGCTTCGTCGGGCGCTAGGCGAGAGGCTCCGACGGGACCCCGACGGTGCCGATGGGTGGCCTCATCCCTATCACTTATCCGATCAACGGCATGTTGCATGCTCATCTATGCATCATATTGATAGGAAATAAGGGAAGATCGGATTTCCTTACCCGCGATATCTCGAGACCGGGCTGAAGTGACCGAGATACTGATGATTGGGTCCTGCAGGATGGAAGAGAAGGAAGCAAAAGAAACCATGTCCCAGTCGTGGCAAAAGAGGTGGCAGCGAGCAGGTCTCCCAGTTTACCGGCAAAAAGAAATCTAGGAAATCAATTTCTCAAAATACTTACATTGAACAACATGTCCCCCAAGTGGAGCGACGTCAAGTCTGAAAGCGAGGCCTTCACGGCCGCGGTCTGTGAAATCGAGGCATGGTGGCAATCAGACAGACAGAAGCATATCAAGAGGTATATTGCCTTGAACTGGAGTGAGTCAAAATGCTAAGAATTATCAGGCCGTACACGGCGAAGTCAATTGCCGCCTTACGAAACATTGGGTTCAAGATTGAGTACCCATCCAGCGTTCAGGGTAGGAAGCTATGGCGCATCCTCAACGAGCACAATGACAATGGCACCTATGAATTGACTTTTGGCACAACCGAGCCCCTCATTGCAAAAGAGATGGCCAACTCAAGTAGGAACTCTCGAACCAATCGTGGTCAGGTTTGCTGACTTGTTCATGATCAGTGCAGACAGTTTACGTATCCGGGGCACTCTGTGGACTGTCGCAGGCAACTTGGCCAGGCGAAGACCATGCAGACTATCCCGCAGACTTGGTTCCATCCGTCGTAAAACGTATCTTCAACACACAACTCTTCCATGACCAGCGCCAGACTCAGCTGCGGATGAGATACTCTGAAACCGACAGAGAGTCGTTAGAGTGCATCGACTACATGCTGCCTATCGTTGCCGATGCCGATATGGGATTCGGGACGCTGACTGGCTGCATGAAGTTGGTTCGCAGCTTTGTTGAAGCTGGAGTTGCCATGATACACATCGATGATCTTGCCATGGGTCTGAAGAAGTTCACGAACGGCGAGGGTCGGACTATCATCCCTACGTCGGACTACTTGTCAAGGTTGACAACCGTCAGAATGACCTTTGATACCATGGGGTCGGTCACACTTGTCCAAAGACAATAGAGAAGACTGACTAATACTGGGCTAATAGGGCGGACACGATGCTCCTGTGCCGATGTGATAGTGACCATGCGGAGTTCATCACAAGGTAGGATGAGCAGCCAGCGAGAAAATTCCTTGGATTTTGTACATCGGCTAACTTTTCTCGAGTGTGATTGACCCCAGAGATCACGCTTATGTTGTGGGAGCAACCAAAGTGGTTCCCTCCTTCATCCAAGCCCTGGATGCTGGAAGTATTGCTGGAAAAGATTACCTGACAGTCAAGACTGAGTGGAAAGCCTCGGCTGGATTGATGACATTTGACGAGGCTGTCAAGTCCACAGCGACCGGAGAGCAGTACAATGCATACGTGGAAGAGATTGGAGACAAAATCGTAGCGTTGCAAGACCGGCGAGCAACCGCCAAGCGTATCGTCGGGAAGGACATCACGTTTGACTGGGAGCTTCCAAGAACACCTCTTGGCCAGTACATGTGGCATTGGAGTACAAAGGCTGTCATTGACCGATGTATTCTCGCAGCGCCCTTGGGAGACGTTACATGGAGTCGTCAGGGTAGGTCCCTCCAGCCCCTCAACCCCTAATTACCTGACTAACTTGATGTAGATAAACCAAGTATGTCTCACAGCCAAGGTTGAGTATGCCTCTAGAAGCCCGTGTACGCTGACAAACAACGTCACAGACAAGGAAGACATGCACGAATTCCATACCGCCTTAAGAGAGGCTTACCCAAACCGCCTCTTTGCCTTTGGATACACTGGCGCATACGACTTTAGCAAGGGCGGGTACTCTCCGGAAGAAGTCGAGACCTTCCCCGCGGACATTGCAAAAATGGGCATCGTGTGGCAGGTACAGCCAATCTGGGCCACGCAGGGCTTGAGCTTGCACGCCAAACAGTTTGCGGAGAAGTTCAAGAAGGGAGGGATCGCCGGTTACATGCGGGACGTGGCTGCTCCCGCGATCGCGGGCATGGCTACCGATAAGTACGGGAAGCCGACGTCTCGTGGCGGATACCTGGCCGATGCGTTCTTTGATGTTGTTGGAGGAGTGGAGATCACGGAGCGCGTCTGAGAGGGGAAGTTGACTTGGCTGCTGTTGTGCTTCACAGGAGTATGCGCTGTTACGCTCCAGGCAAGGAGTAGCAGAGGGCTATCGTCTGTCATCGGCCAATTAGGTATGCTGTGTTTGCACTAGATAATATCACAGTCTCAGTGAACAAGTCTTGCGAGTTGCCTTCATTTCCTGGCCAATTATGTGACCTCAGTATGCTGATGGCTGAAGTGATATATGCGGTCGTCTACGTGTGACTGTGTTGCACGAAATGCGAGTGAGAAATAAGGCTCTTGACACGAGAACCCAATCTCTTGTCATACGTATGATGTGCATATAATGTTTCACGACATGAAGGATAAACAACTCGCATTAAATGAGAGGATATTGCTACTAACTCAATAAGGGTGGATATTTGAACGCGCTTTCCCTTCATGTTCCGTGTTGTCTTCTAACCCCTTCTCCGATTTACCCTGAGTTATTGACTAGAAGGGAACTCAACAAGAAACTCACTATGGAACCTCTCGGCGGCAGATATGCACCTTCGATCTGTACGTCAATGTCTATGGTCTTGCTCGTATTCGCCTTCGCCAGTATTGTCCTCTATCTACTAGTGTCACACATTCGACAAAACTCGCAGCAAAAAACAAAGAAGAATCTTCCCTTGCCTCCGGGACCGCCTCGATTACCCATCATTGGAAACTTCTTCAATGCGCCAGACGTATGCTTCAACTGGTTGACCCACTACCAATGGAAGTACTTATACGGACCAATCGTGCATTATGAAAAGGGCGGACAGTCCCACATCGTCCTAACGACAGTCGAAGCGGCCCACGATCTTCTGAATAAGCGAGCAAGCAACTATTCAGGGCGCACATTCAGTCCTTGCGCAGGGGAGCTTGTTTGTAACAATTACAATATTCTCTTTCTACAGTACGATACCCAGTTCCGGCTGCATCAACGGCTCCATGCTAAGGGACTCAACCCTCGCTCCGTGGCGCCGTATCATCCTCTGATAGAGTTGGAATCGCTTCAGCTGCTGAACGATTTGTTGTCAGAGATACAAGAAAAAGGTGGCGAGAAGCAAATGGGAGCTGCTGTGAACCCTCACTGGCACTTTCGACGCGCAGCATCCAGCAACGTGAGCATGATAGCTTGGGGCTATCGGCTGTTAAGGGGCAATCCCGAGCATGAAGCACAAATCAAATTTTTCGACGTCGCCCCAACTTCGGTAGTCTTGAAGACTACACCAACATGGTACGATACCTTCCCTTGGCTGAAACATCTTCCTTACGCCATTTCTCCGTGGAAACGAGCAGCGAAGGTCCTCTTCGAGCGCGAGGAGGCTCATTATTTGGGCAATTTTCGTAGCGCGCTGAAGAGACCTGGATATAACCTGAGCAAACAAATTGCCAGCAGCACTGATATGTCGGATACGGGAATGTGTGAGACCGAGCAGGCGTGGGTTGTGGGAACGTTGACCTTAGCCAACGGTGATACCAGCGTCGCCACTCTGTGTTGGTTCGTCGTTGCCATGCTGACGTATCCGCGTGTCTTTGGCAAGGCTCAGGCCATGATTGATGAAGTCGTTGGCCATGATCGCTTGCCTGCTTTCGAAGACCGGGAGAAGCTGCCGTATGTCGACGCAATGATCGAAGAGGTGATGCGGTGGCGACCTATCCTACCAGCCGGGCTAGACCACGCGGCCGTTGAGGAAGATGAGTACGAAGGATACAGGATCCCAAAAGGAGCGACGATAATTCACTCCCAGTGGGCGATTACGCGAGACAAAGAGGTGTATGGCGCGGACTACGACGACTTCAGACCTGAGAGATGGATCGAGAACGAAGACTTGCCCAGGACCGCCTTTGGATACGGAAGGCGACTTTGTCCAGGCAGACATGTAGGTAGAGAAGGCCTGTGGATATTGTTTGCCCGGCTCATTTGGGCATTTCGGCTTGAGCAGACGACTGATCCGGCCACAATGAAGAAAAAGGTGATTGATCCGATGTCCATGTTGCCGGCGGGCTTCGTTATTGGGCCTAATCCTTTTGAAGCACTGTTCATTCCTAGGGGTCCATGGGTTGAAGCCCTTGTACATGCAGATCTTCAAAGTGCAGAGAAGGATGTTGGAAAGATCATGGAGCAGGTGTAGACGGAAAAGAGGCTCTAGTCACTTCAAGATAAGTTTCAAATGATGTTGGTTTACTAAAGATAGTGGGCGTGTTGTTCTTAGTACATTTCCACATCAATCTAACGCTATGCTTCTCCATTCTGGCTTATTCATCAATCACAAGACGACAGAAGGCGAAAAGTCCTCAGACAACTGCTAAGTCCAAATGATGGGTGTACCATTCCTAGACACTAGCATTGAGAGTTGAGGGGTGCATTGGAACAACTTGGATGTGTGTCTTCCCCACGGGGCGAGAATGACCCTTGTTGGATATTAGCCCGATTTTCCGGCTCGATTGAACCGAGATATTGAGTGCCGCTGACAGTCGCATTAATTGTGGAAGCTTTGATTCGGGATAAGTGGCTCGGGCAACCACTTGAATTCTATGGGCAACATTACTCCTCCAATGGAAGCCTGACATTGATGGAATTGCCGTGGTTACATCAGGTAAATCGCCCGTGTCATTTACCGAGCTGCGAACCTGGGGAAACTGCGGGATCAAGACAATGAGCCTGGCAACGACCAAAATGAAGTGACTAACGGGAACTCGGACTGGATCGAGATGATTCAGGTGAACGGCATCAGCAAGTCTGTGTGCGTATAGACAAAGTCAGTATAAATAGCTCTATGGCCCAATGCTCCGGCTCAGTCAATACATGTACGTCCAAGTGCTTTAAAGACAACAAGATAGGTCGAAACATCCACATCACTCATCAGATTTGTCTCGAAAGGTCAATATTATGAAGTTCCTCAATCTTCTCTCAGTCTCTTTCGCTCTGTCTAGCGCTCTCTTGGCACAAGCTGCCCGGCCCTTGGAGAACCTTGGCCGAGGGGTAGTAGCTGTGCGCACAAGCGACGAAGATATCTTGGTTACCTGGCGTCTTCTTGGACTAGACCCATCAGGGATTGGCTTCAACGTCTATCGTGACACGGGAACCTCACCGAAAAAACTCAACGACGAAGTCCTCACAGGCGGCACCAACTTCCTTGACTCTACCGCTAATCCGAATGAAGTCAACACCTACTTTGTACGGCCCGTCATTGGTAGCAAAGAACAAGATACCAGCGGATCTTTTAGTTTACCTGCTAAGAACGCGGTCGAGCCGATTGTTCGGGTTCCTATCCGTAGTGGTGGCGCTGTCAAGTTCGTCTGGGTTGGCGATCTTGACGGAGATGGCGAGTGGGATTACGTCCTTGACAGACAGACTTCGCCCCAGACCATCGAGGCTTACACCAGTAATGGGACTTTCCTCTGGGAAGTCAGCCTCGGCCCCAATAGCGAGAATCAAAACAACATAGAGCCGGGGTCATCGACAATTGACGTTGGTCATTGGGATGGTGTCACTGTTTTCGACTTCGACAGTGATGGACGTGCCGAAGTTGCCATCCGGATCGCCAATGGAGTTGTCTTTGGAGATGGGAAGATATTTGATGACGGGGAAACGGACAACCACCAGTCCATGGCTATTCTGGACGGGCGCACGGGGGCTCTTCGAGCCTCCGCCTCAGTCCCTACGGATTACATCGACGACGGACCCCTCGCCGCCCGTCTTGGTGCCGGATTCCTGGACGGAGAGACACCTCATCTCGTGGCATACATGAAGAATCGCATCGGATCTGGTGATTTCAACTTGATGTATGTGACCTGGACCTTTGACGGCACATCTCTGAAGCAGAAGTGGAAGTGGAATCGGGGCGACAAGAATTTTCCCGATGGGCATAACACGCGCATCATTGACCTCGACGGGAACGGGAAGGATGAGGTCCTCGAGATTGGCTTTGCACTGAACGGAGACGGCACCGAGAGATACACCCTCGGAGATCAGGGTATCATCCACGGCGATCGTTTCCACCTCGCCAAGATTGACCCCGATCGTGAAGGGCTTCAGGGGTACGGTGTACAGCAACGAAACCCAGATCTCATCTATGAGTACTACTATGATGGCTCATCTGGCGAGATCATCTGGAAACACGTCGGTGACAACGTGACCGACGTAGCCCGCGGCATGATCGGTGATATTGACCCCACCCGCCCCGGCATGGAAGTGTGGTCATTTTCAGGAGTTTACAACGCCAAAGAGAACGAGCTCACAGAGTCGGACACTGAGCTCGCCCCGTGGCCCCACTTGGGCCTTTGGTGGGATGGAGACGAGCTACTCGAACTTTTCAACGATGGCAAGTTTGAGAAGTGGGACTGGGAAAACCCCAGTACTTCCAACAGCCTTCCTCGAATCTTGAGAGTCAGCGATTTCGGCGGAGTAACTGCCGGCAGATATCCTAATTTTATCGGTGATATTCTTGGTGACTGGAGAGAGGAGGTTATCGTCACGAATGGAGCTGCCGATGAGCTGCTCATCTTCACGACTGACAAGCCGAGCGATGTTCGCTTGTATACTTTGGCTCATAATCCTGCATACCGCAATGCAATGACTCTGAAGGGGTACATGCAATCTCACCATGTCGACTACTTTCTCGGCAAGGATATGAAGATGCCACCTCAGCCAAATATTCGATACACAGTTGCGAAGTAGAGAAGATTCGACAAGCCGGCTAATTCAAGATGTTTATTGAAATGATGAATTCGGGAATAGACTCGGCTGGTTCAGACAATCAGGATGCAAGAAATACTGCAGGTGAAGTATCAATCGAGTAAGCTATTGTATGTGAAGCCATGTAGGTTGCAACGGTCCAGTATAGCGAGGTAATTTCTCGTGACTTAAACATGCAAAAGAACACAGAATTCATCTTCACAAATATTTGTATCTTCGTTCAACAAAACCCTCCACTACGTGGCATCCTTTTTGATGCTTATGATGCATCAGGCCCCTTCTTCACTCTCAACAACTGCGCCCAGTCGATAGCACCATCCTTGCAGAATTCCTTGTCAATCTTGCAGCAGCCGCCGTTGAAGGGAATCTGCAACAGCGCGTTCGGCTGCTTGACCTCAGTATTTCCCTTTCCCTTTTCCTCCTTACCGCCGATCCAGATGCCGCAGAAATCGTCTCGGCCGCCGAATGTTCTCAGAGTGCAAGCTCTGGGGTCGATCTCGACCACAGCACCGTCCTTGCCGCGCGTGGACCAGATGTTGTTCTTCCAGCTCATCTTGGGGCCGTTGAGGGTATCGGCGTCTTCTTTCGTGTTGCCGAGGTGCGGGCATTCTGAGCTCGCTACGGCGAAGACGTCTGCACATTGGTCGGTGCAAGCTTGAGCCATAGAGTGGCCGGCCAGGGCGGCGACGAAGAGAAGAGCGGCAGAGAGTGAATGCATGATGAATATGAATTATGGTAAAGAGCGTGGATTTTGACTGATTGGATACTCAAGGTCGTCGTAGATAGAGAAGAAGGCGTGATTTCAGTAAGCTGTTGATGTACTACCTGTGATGTCCCTACTCAGGCTACTTATACGACTAGAACCATGAGGAGTCTATCGAAGACTGCCGTATCAACGAGGCTCCGCGTCATTGCCGTGATGACCGAGTATCCCACGGTAGTTTAATTGCATGGGGCTCTCACGACGGCGGATAGAGACCAAGGAATTCCGCGATAATTGTGTTTCGGCTTGGGCGGGATATGACGCCCAGACGTTGAAAAAGTTTAGTAAATTACATAGCTTTTCTTATAGTATGATCGCGAAAGTTAATGCAAGTGCGCAGCCGTACCTGACAGTTGACACGCACCTCATAAGCCCCGGCTGTCCTCAGCTCGGTCCAGTTGGTGATCCTGTATACGGCTGGGCGTTTATCCTCAACTGCGCTAAAGTAAAATAGACTTCCCGTCAGTTCCATGCATAGAACAACCTTGGTGGTTCTAATGAACGGCACCTCCGTGCGTTCCTTCATTTGGCGGTACAGTATATACTACAAAGTCAACATCATTGGGAAAGATCGGAGTGAATGGCTGCCGACGTTCTCGGCTTCAAGGCTCCACCGACCGTTTGACAAAAGTTTACATGCAATGTTTGAACGCCTAAATTTTCGGTTTCGCGGACGGAGAGACCGAATCAATTATCACCGGTATCTTTTTGACTTTTCAAAGCTATTCTCTTTGTCATAACTCCCCGTATGCTCCATTCGTATCTCGGAGTTTGGACCGAACGAGATGAATACGAGCTTTGTTGGTGACGGCTTTGAAGCTGTTCATATTCTGAGTGGTGTTGTAAGTTGATGAGAAGTGTCAATGTCTTAAGCATTGTGATAACTATTTAAAAGCCTGCCCGTTTGCCAACTTCGGGTTCAAGTCTCACGCATATTCAACTTCTTCAAGAAGCATCTGCTCTCTACTCCCACACTCATTTGACCACCTATTCGTACCATTTTCAGCGATGCGTTCCATAATCTTTTACTGCCTCGCAGTTCTCTGCGGCCTCCTGTGTCTCGGCCACTGCGACGAGCTCGACGATGCCGGCTACAGCGTCAGCAACAGCGGCGACAAGTGGACAGTATCGTCGGGTGGCTACATCATCAACGAGTTCCGCATCGACGGCAACCGTATCAAGGTCGACTTCGTCGCTAACGGCTTTGACGAGAAGGGTGTCACCCTGCGCGACATCATCGCCCGTGTCTGGGGCCGCGCAGGAAAGTGGCTGTCCGACCTCGACTCCGTTCAGTTTGTCGACGTCATGGAGTACAGGGCGATGAACTCGATCGCGCAGGCTCGGCAGATGCGTGGCGTCGGGCCCAAGACGAGCTTCCAGATCGACATGGGCGAGATTGGTTGGGGACAGATCACCGACAACCCGTTTTACTGGCACATTCACAAGATGTGCTGGGAGTGGAACAGCATGGAGGGCAAAGACGTTACGGGAGCGTATGTTTCGAGTTTGGAGGACTCGGAGGGGATCCAGCCGGATGACTTGATCTTCTACATCGCCGAGTATGATCAGCCTTCGCCGAGAAAGTAGACTGAACGCAGTGGTCTGCGTAGAAGATCAAGCGGGTCTCCAGTGCAGCCCTGAATCTACCTACCTGGAGTGGAGCAGAATATCAGCCGAGAGGGTCTTGTAGCCAGGGCGTCATAGTCACGTTTGATGTCTTAAAATCAATAGGAAAAAAGCCTTCTTTTTGCAGTCATGAGTGACCAGGCTAGTTCAGTTATACTTCAACCACATGACATCGTGTATTAATTTGCTGCTCTAGTCCAATGACAACTCACAGCGGTTAACTCTTCATCAACCAGCTTACATCTTTCCCATCCTTCTTGGTGGTACCTTCGCCACGAACAGACGGTCAATCTCATCAAAGGTCTTGCCCTTAAGTTCGGGGACGTAGAAGAAGCTTCCTACTGTACCAATCAATGCCAACCCACCAAAGATAAATCCAACTTTGCCCTTCAAGTTGCCCTCATCCGGGTTGACCATGTAAGGAATCGCGAAGTTCATTGCCAAGCCACAGATTGCTTGGGTAGCGGTGGCGAGAGCCATGGTTTTCGCGCGCAGGACAGAGCTGGAAGCTTCGCCTAGAATGGCGAAAGCCATGGCACCAATGGTCATGAAGTAAACGAAAGCATAGATGACGGTGCAGGCGGCTTGCACCCACTTTGCAGCGTCCGTCGGGACGACGTCCATGATACCGATGAGTAGGAGGAGCGTTGTAAGAGCTCCCATTCCGGAGATGAAGATCTTCCGGCGGCCAAAGGACTCGATAACGAACCAACTGACGATATTTCCGAGGACTCCGCAAGCTGTGACGCCCACGCCGAGGTCGAAGGATTTCGAGACGTCGAGGCCAGCGAGTTGGAAGAAGTATGTCGAGTATCCGAGGACAAAGATAATACCAACCTTTGTGCAGAGTCAGTCAAGTGTGTGGCGTGTTCAAGTCAAGAGATCTTACCAAGTGCTGGCAAAGGAACACGCCAGTTGAGATTCCTGTCCGCAGAAGGTTGGTGCCCTTGAAACAGTCGACGAATCCAAGCTCGTGTGTTTGGTTCAAGTTCTCCTCCTCAATTGTCGCTACAATGCCAGAAAGCCTGGCGTTGACATCGTAATTTTGTCCATATAGCTTCTTGAGAGACTTTGCTGCTTGCTCAAGTTTATCCTTTCGGGCGAGGTACCAGGGGGTTTCGGGCGTGAAGGGCAAGAAAACGGCAAGGAAGAGGACGAAGAAGAGCTGGGTGGCGAAGGGTCCACGGTAGGCCCAGCGATCGGATCGTTCACCAAAGGCCTTGACGACGGCGTTGGACAAGAGCTGGCCAATGGCAATGCCCAAGTTGACACCAGCTGTGGCATATCCTCGAAGGGCGACGGGAGCCAACTCACTGCATGCCAGGGGCGCAAGCGTGAGGTAGAAACCGAGTCCCAGACCGAGGATCAGCTTGGAGCAGAGGAAAGCTGCTTTGGTGTCTGAGAGAATCTCGCCAACGCAGCCGCCGGTGCAGATGACAACGCCAATTAAGAGGGAGTTCTTGCGTCCAATTCTATCTGCTAGCCAACTGCAGGCAAAGCCTCCGAAAAATTGACCGACGGTGCTGATGATGTTGAAGGCAGACTGCCAATCCGCGGGGAGAATCGCTTCGCCGTCGAGTATATATCTGTCGAATCTCTAGTTAGTCTCTGCGACTTTGCGAGGATGGCAGGCTGGGTCAGAAGAATGCATGTAAATTCGTACCCAAAGTCTCTTCTGAAAGATGCGACGGAAATCATGGCGCCGTTGATCTGAGCATCAAAGCCCCTAAAAGTCTCATGGTCAGTCAATTACAACTCTTCGAGGTCATTCTGGATGTTTTACCATCCAATGGCAGCCATCGCCCAGTAGAAACACCACCAGACAATGGCTTTGTGGTTCTTGAAAACTTCTCGAACAGTGAGATCATGCTCCTGCTGGTTGGTCGCACCGACGGCCAGTCCTTTGGCATCATGGTGGGAAACACTTGCTTCCAAGTGATCCGAAACTTCGTTCTTCTCTGCCATGTTTGATGGGAGTCGTCACGGAATGTGACAAACTTCAGTTGTGTCTCGATGTGTAAACTGAGGATGGATGGCCAGGGTCGAGGAGCGGCGGAGACTGGGGAACAAAAGAATGATCACCAGGAAATCCGGGGAAGCCTTGAAGATTATATCCTTTGTCAACTCCTCATTTCCGGGAGTTAGATTGTTGGAACACCCTATTTGTGATGGTACTATAGTCCCGAGCAAACCCAAGTGTGTTGAGGTCATTCGGACTGGATAGTTCTTGCTGAACCCCTTGTTCAAGGACAACAGGACGGATGGCGTATGAGCGACATTCCGCGATTGATCAAGCCACAGCCAGGCGAACCAACGCCCAATCTGGAAAGGCCTGGGAATGGCTCGTGAAGAAAATCAGTCCACGCGCCTCCGTGTTGGGCCGAGACCATCGCCCTCGAAATTCCAAGAGCGTGGAACGACAGGTACGTATCCCCGGCTTGGTATGGAGCCCCGGACTTTCCCCGCAATCCATTTCAGGCTAGCCCGACAAGAATCTCCAGACGGCGAAGGAAAGAACATTAAAAGCGACACTCCGCGACACTTTTCCCCGTCCTTTCTCCAGCTTTCCACCTCATCCAACGTCTCGTTGCAACCCACCAACCGCCTCTCAGAATTAGCATTGTTTATCCCCCCCAACATCGAGCCATTATACGCCTGTCAAGCCATTCCTTTTCTTGATGGCAGACCCATCTGCCCCGGACAGCCACGTGCCGTCGGCTGCAGACGCGCCTGACCCAGGCAGGAGTCGACCGGAACAGTCCACGTCCAAAACCAACACCCGGCCAACAGCCCGTGGAACCGCATTCTATCAGCGGAAGAGAGCCGTCAGGGCATGCCAAGTATGCCGGGCTCGGAGGACGAAATGCGACAATCTCAAGCCATCATGCTCTTTCTGCCTGAAGGTTGGGGCTACTTGCATCCAGTCGCCCGTCGACCTGTCCAGCTTCGACCCGGCTAGTCTCAAGATCTTGGAAAGACTCGATGATCTGGAAGAGATGATGAGATCGGTGACAGTCGATGGACTGCCGAGCAACAAAACACGAGTAGTCGAGACCCCGGTCGAGCATCGGGTCATAGAAGCACCTTCTGTGGGGCCTCTTATCCAGATGGGGATGATACTTCCTCCGAGACCAGAACATGTCATGTCATGGGCTATCTTTGAAGAGATCAGTGACTGCATTGATGCTGGAGACATGGCTCTACAGGTTGATCATATCTCAATAGCTGCGAACTCTCCAATGTCCCTCCTCGGCGCTCTTGACCTAGAGCCGCGACGAATCAACGACTTGCTTGATAGTTTCTTCAACTACGTCCATGTCAAAAATCCGATTCTCGATGAGACAGCAACTCGAAAAATGGTTTCACATACGGTACTTGAAGGGATCAACTGGTCGGCTGAGTCCTGTCTATCTCTCCTGGTCTGCGCATTAGGGTCTTTAGCCACGCCTTTTGGGCCCAGCCAGGACACGATGCCGGGGTCCGCAGCCCACAGTGATGCTCAAGCTTTCTTCCAAGCCGCGCAGAAACGATTGGGAATCTTGCTTTCGTCAGATGATATTATTGCGGCTCAATGTCTGTTTCTTTCAGGGGTCTACATGATGTGCGTATTCCAGCCTGTCAAGGCCTGGAGGTACTTCGTGCAGGCGCTGGCTAGCTGTCAGCAATTTGCGTTCCTTACCCCTGAAGCCCAACAACGCTACCACAGCAACGTTGAGTCGGGCAACGAGTCGCGAAATTACTCCATCGACACTCTACAGCAGGCTGTCTACTGGTCCTCATGGAAATCCGAGCGAGAGATGCGAGGGGATCTCTACCTCCCGGACTTTTCGCTCAGCGACCAGGAGTTGGCATTTTACCCGCCCTTCTTCCCGACACCGCCAGCTCCTAGGGCGGAAGTTGAGGCGGCGACGGATCCGCGCCTGGCTCGCGAGAGAACATCATGGTACTTTTATCTGGCCGAGATCTCTCTCAGAAGGCTTGCCTCTCGGATTAGTGCCGAGATGGTGGGCCTTCAGAAAGAACATCCCACGCGTCAAGCATACCTCGCGGCAATGGCCGCGGCAGTGCCGCAGTACGAGGAGCAGGCACAAGAGTGGATTAGCTCGCTTCCTCCAAGTCTCTCATTCGCCGAGCCTCCGGAAAAGGATGATGTCTGCAGATTCGTGCTCCGAGGTCACGCGGTCAATCTGTATGAGGTGATATACTGGCCATTTACCACCGCTTTCCTCGATGCACTTGGGGCGAATCCCGAGTTCGCTGGCGAGGCTCTGACTCCCAGTGTGGAATTATTGGCTCAAAAGGGTCTTGAAAACCACGTCTATCGACTCGCCATTAACCGCCTAGGGTACAAGCATCGCCACCATGGAACACTGCCCATGATGCGGTCTTGCTCGCGAAGCGCCCTGGCGTTGGTCGCGGCTGCATTGCTCACCCAATCTAGCGGTTCTGGAGGTGGATATGCCCTACCAAATGGTTGGTTTGGCGTCGTGGGAGAAGTAATTGATCTACTTGCGTTTTGGGAGTGCGAAACGCGCGAGATGGAGCTTACGCGTCGCGTGTTAGAGAAAGCGAGTGGGATGATTTCGGCGCCATCCCCGTCGGCTTATCGTTTACGGGTCTAGTCGAGGTTATCTGCCGGACCTCATAGCTTCAATCTGTGTTCCTCAAGGGTCTTGGAGCTGACTACCGGCAATACCACCTCGATTCATTCAGGCTAAATGCAACTAAATCGGTACTCCGCTTGACACGACGTGGAACCGGAAGCGAGGTGAATTATCGCCTGCGAGTTGTTCAGCACACACTGAAGACCTCCAAGAACGCCAGAAAAGCAGCTGTCGGCGTCTCATCGGTCAAAGCCTAGTTCTAACTCAGGCGCAAATCGCTGTACCCCAGACTTTAGCTGGTCCAGTCGGGTTGATTCACATGCGGGATGGATGGAGAATGTGTCTTGAGGAGAGCCCCACATCAACCCATCTTCGCGGAGTATCGCTTTTAAGACCGCGAGGGGCACCACTGGACGCTCACCTAGCTATGCGCGATGACCGCAGAACAGAGTCTCGATACGATGGCATGATTGGGCCATACTTATCATGTCGGTCCACTGTGTGGTCTTGGTCGCGATGCTGATGGGTATAAAGAACCATCTTCAGAAAGACTGACAATCAGCAACGACATACCCCCAAAGCCAGAGCCTCACATCCGCTCACAATGTCGCCCGCAACATCCAACCCCCCTCTCACGATGCTTCGCGTCAAGGGAACCAAGATTGTCAACGAGAGTTACGACGAAGTAATTCTCAAGGGTGCCGGCCTCGGTGGCATGCTCAACATGGAGAACTTCATCACCGGCTACGCCGGCCACGAGCATGAACATCGTGCTGCCTTGGAGGAAGTCCTTGGCAAGGAAAAAGCCGACTTCTTCTTCAATCGTCTCATCCACCACTTTTTCACAGAGGCTGACGCCGCCTTGTATGCGCAACTAGGTCTCAACTGCCTGAGGATACCCTTCAACTACCGTCACTTCCAGGATGACGACAACCCCAGCGTCATCAAGCAGTCCGGCTTCGATCTTCTCGATCGCCTCGTCAATATTTGCGCCAAGTACAACATCTATGTCATCCTTGACCTCCATGCCGTGCAAGGTGGACAGAACCAGGACTGGCATAGCGACTCAGGAATCAGCAGAGCACTTTTCTGGGAGTTCAAGGACTTTCAGGACCGCGCAATCCAATTATGGGAGGCTCTCGCCCGTCACTACGCCGGCAACAAGGTCATTGCGGGATACAACCCCCTCAACGAGCCAGCGGATCCTGAGCACACCCGCCTCATCGCATGGTACGAGCGCGCCGAGAAGGCGATCCGCGCTATCGACCCCGATCACATCCTCTTCCTGGACGGCAACACCTACGCCATGGACTTCTCTGCCTTCTCACCAGAAAAGACACTGCCCAACAGTGTCTACAGCTGCCATGACTACAGCATGATGGGTTTCCCCCTTCCTGAGCAGTATGACGGCACATCCGAGCAGAAGGAGAAGCTGCGCACGAGTCTTAAGCGCAAGGTGGAATTCATGCAAAAAGCCGGTGTGCCCATCTGGAACGGTGAATGGGGCCCCGTCTATCAGAACCCGAAGACGGATCCCAACGCCGAGGCGACCAACGAGAAGCGCTTCGCTTTGCTCAAGGAACAGCTCGCCATATACCGGGAGTTCGATGGTATCTCATGGAGCATCTGGCTGTACAAGGATATCGGCTACCAAGGCATGGTCTACCTCGACCCAGAGAGCCCGTACATGCGCCTCATCCAGCCGTTTGTTGAGAAGAAGCAACGGAACGGCCTCGACTTTTGGGGTTGCGCAGACAAGAGCGCCATCGACAACGAGGTCTACGCACCGTTTATCGAGAAGCTCAAGAAGCAGATTCCCGCGCACTTGCTTAAGAAGAAGTACCCCAAGGTGTGGAATTTCGACAGGCAGGTCGAGCGTGTGGTGCGGGAATGCTTGATGAGTGAGTACGCCGGATGGGAGTTTGCGGAGCTGTTCAAGGGCAAGACGGAAGACGAGCTCGAGGAGCTGGCGGCCAGCTTTGCATTGGAGAACTGCAAGACGCGCGATCGCCTGAATGAGTATTTGAAGGAGGATGCGGTGACGGCGAATGGAAGGCTCACGAATGGGACTAACGGCCACGCATAATGGGATATTGTGACGACCAGAATTAGATAGCAGGATCCGAAGATGGAGAAACCGCTATATGGAAGTAGACTTCTGATCGTTTGTGCATGAATATCTTACGAAATTTCACGTATTCGGGCTGTTGGTTGAGTATATCCACATTTTCTCGCCTTGGCATCTATCAAGGTACTCACTCTTTTGACCGCACCTCATTTTCAGAATTCTCCCAACTTTAAACAATGGAGGAACAATTCTTTCTCATCGAAAAATTAACAGCGACGATTGAGTTTCCTCCCGTCGGCTCAGATCCGAAATTCAAGCATTCGAGGCGTTTCTCTGCACGCCATTGTCGGCCCTGGCGAATCGCACCAAGCCCCACCCCTGACTAGCCTTGACGCCACTCGGTGAGCGTTGCCTGCTCCCATGAGGTTGCCTCACGCTGCATTGTGGGCTGCCTTCAGTCTCACCTATGGCATCCTCTCTGTAAGCGCCGAGGCAGACAGCATCCGGGATGTCGCGGACAATAGGGTTGTTTTGGACAATGAGTTTGACGCGCAAAAGATCTTGGCGGAGGTAAGGGGCCAAGCCCCGATCACGGTGTTGTCTGCCATCAGGCCTAAACATTTGCTGATCGAATAATTCAGATGCCAGAAGAATCCTTTGTTGAGATTCACGAGGTGACTGTCACTGTCGAGAATATCCCAGACAAGCCGAGCCCACGCCATGAGCAGGAGAAGAAGAATCTCCTGAAGCGAATGAGCAAGTCCCACGGGAAATGGGACACCAACCACCCCCGCCATCGGCTTCTCGAGGCCTTGTTTGGATTCAGTCGGTACAAGGCCCGCCAGATGGCTGAGCTCGACAGGTGGAAGGGGCTGTACAAGCACGTATCCAAGGCACAGAAAGCGGTTAGTAACAATCATGCCGCCTAGCCCCTGAGACATTCTTTCCCCTGAAGCCAACAAAAGGCCTGCTTACCTTTGTCGTCGTAGATTCTCGAAAAGGCCGTCGGGTACTCAAAGAAGTTTGAGACGGCGGAAAAGCTACTCGATGTAAACCAGGCGCTATGCGATGAGATTGTCGAGACGGCGCTCGAGTTTTACGGTATCAGTCGCAAGGAGCTGGATGATCATGCCAAGGCAAAGGACAATGCTGGCCAGCCTGCTGACAGAGTGAGCACATCTCAAGCCCTGAAACACTTTGTTAGGGATTGGTCGACTGCCGGCCGAGGCGAGCGAGATGACGCTTTCCCCTGCATTCTCGGTACTCTTGACACGCTTTTCCCAGATCGCTCTGAGCAAGGAGACATCAAAGTCCTGCTTCCGGGAGCCGGCGCTGGCCGCCTGGGCCATGAAATCTCCGCTCTCAGAGGCTTCGAGGTCACGAGCAACGAGTGGTCGATGTTTATGAATCTCGCTTATCGCTTCCTCGAGGTTCACCCTCGCCCGGCTTCTAAAGGATTCCATCCCTTTGTCGAGGGATGGTCGCATCACGCGACGACCGCAGACATGTTCCGCGAGGTGACCTTCCCCGACAGGCGGGTAAACGCCAGTGCCGTGCTACTTGTTGAAGGTGATTTCGCTTCAGCATTCAAGTCGGACGCTGGGCGATATGACGTCGTAGTGACGCAATTCTTCATTGATACAGCTCGCAATGTCATGAGCTATTTGGATACGATCCATTCCGTCTTGAAGCCTGGAGGGTACTGGGTTAACTTTGGGCCTCTCATGTGGGGAACTGGTCCTTTCGTCCAGCTTTCTCTTGATGAGGTTATCGCAGTGACCAAGAATATGGGGTTTGAATTCCTAGATATTGGCCAGGAATGCGGAGAGGCGACGTTTGGAGAAGAAAAGGTCCGCAGTCGGGAGGCAGTGTATGGGTTCAACGAGAAGGCTTTGACGAAGAATGCGTACTCAGCGCAGTCTTGGCTGGCGAGAAAGGGCGATAGGCGTACCATGGAAGAAAAAAACGACGATGGGCTTGTTTTCTCGTGAGGTGGTGGGAAGAAGAATCGACGGCCTAGGGCTGCCTAGCACATATTCCAAATCCATTTGGGAACCATGACGCAACCGCTATTGAAAACCGATAAGGACTATACTAAAGAAGATGTTGTGGTTCTAGAAGAAAGCATGATGCCGATAGGTTCAATTTGCACATTACAGTCAATAACCTGTCTTCAAGCAGCTACATTAGGCTTACAGTACGATGGCCAAATCCTCATCTTGACAATCCTCGCTGCCTTTGACGCCATGATTTACAGAGACACCTCAGCTGTATCTGGCGCTCTTTGTTTCCTCCAACGTTTCAGACCGAACATCCACAATTTTGGGTCCATGGTAGACACAAGTCAAATCCTAACCTTGCTAACGACACAGTAGGCACAGCGGGGAAGACCACAAGCGTGACATTTTTCCTCGCGAATTGGCACACCGGCTTGTCCACAACAACACTATATTATACTCAAGTCAGAGACCATGTCCGTTTACCAAAGCGACAGAAGCGGGCAGGGTGTACTCACTTTCCACAGAAGAATCTGCTTTCGTTTTGGCCCCCATTGCACCGGCGTGGGGTCCTGCATTGGCCAGCAGCTGAAGCACCCCTCTGCATCTTGAAGGTGGTCATCCCCGCATACGGGAGTGCTTGGGTCGGCAAACAATTGGACACCTCGCGCGCCTAAGATGGGCGGACCGCTGTGAGATTGGTTAAAATCAGAACTCGATGTTGTATTGCTTGTTGCAGGCATGTCTGGTTGATCGAGTGAGGCTCATGCAAAATGGAACAGATAAAATAAACGGTTGTCGGGCTGTCTGTGAGGAGAGAAGGCAGAGCGTTCTCAAGAACGACACTTTTTCTTGAAAGCCTGCGAATAGGATAAGGTAGTAGAGGATTTCGGGGACACAGATGGTCAAATATCGTGGAAGTAAACTCTGAAGAGATGATAAACAAATCGCGTTGATGGAAAATGAGCAACTTGATCAG